AGTTGTTTTTTAACAATTAGGAAAGCCAGCAGCATCATCTCTGCGGCTGCAGCCATGAGCAGGCCTTAATGCTCTCAAAGAGTCATTTCAAATGCTCCGGTTGTTTCACACAAATTTATATCAAGTCCAACTTCTCCTTCAGCCCACGTGTATTTATATTGGAAATATACTTGGGATTCACAGTAGTGTACATCAGAGTGAAGGATAGAAAATGACTAAAAATGAGATATTTAGGTTGGGAGAACTTTATTGAAGCTCCGACGAGTTCTCTGCCATTGATTAAAGCAAATGATTTCGCATGTGAGCTTTGAAAAAAAAGAACTTTTAGAACAAATGAAGTGATTTATTTTAGTGTTAATTGCTTGGTTCAAGCACTGATGACCAAATACAAGATGTTATGCTACAAGCGCCTTCCCCCAAGCTCATTCTCGGTTCATATAGCATTCGACTATCTTATTTAATCACATAGTTAAGCCAATCATTTCCTCCTGCATTCCTCTGCATGTACCGTGCAACAGTGGATCGGTTTGGAGTTGCAACTCTTAAGCTGATGTGCATTTGAGTTTTCCCCAGAGGTGTTCACACTGCGGAGAACGTGAAGGTGAACGACCGACTGCAGTGGTACGTACAGGTACATGGATGTGAGTGGACCACTGGCAGAAGTGAGGTTTGTAAGGCACAGCAGTTCACATTATCACTTGGCATCGGTAAAGGAAACTCTGCTGACGGCCTAATGTCCCTGTGAGCAAGGAAGGTACACTTTGAAGGTCCTGGGTGGCCTTAGCGCTATTAAGTAAATCAGTTCAAGGTGTTCCATCCACAGATAAATAAATGCACAGAATATTTTTGGTAAGTATTTTTTGTCAGACGGAAGCTAAGGAAACTAGTGAGTGAAAGTAAAGGCATTTAAGGAATCCGGACGCAGTTTCGGGAGCACAGTTTACTTTTATACATACCGATTGGCTATCCACGCCACTGCACCGCTTCACAAACAGGGTCCATTCAACTCGGGACGTGTTCCTTTCAAATCATCAGTGACCACAGCC